AGCTATTCCAAGTACAGTCTGATGAGTGTGCGTCCCGGAGGCCTAATATAGTCCTCTTTCCCTTCCCATCCTTTTTCTTATAAGGAAAAGATAGGAAATGGAAGTCGACTTTCCGGATGAGAGGATGCATGGAAAGGGATTATCATAAGATGAAAAACGAGCGAGCGGCCACCTGAAATTGCTAAAATAGCGAAGTGACCGTTGCCCATAGACATACGCAATTGCATATGCGTTGCCTACCTTTAATCCACGGAGGTGAGGATGCACAGAAAGAAATTATTTTCCCTTCCCATGCATCCTCTCATCCGGAAAGTCCACTTCCACTTCCCATCCTTTCCTTATAAGAAAAAGGGTGGGAAGGGAAAGAGGACTAAATTAGGCCTCCGGGACGCACAAAAGACTTAATTGCGTCACTTCTATAAGTTAATAATATATGTGTTTTTAAACTTTACAAAATGTGCATTAGTTTGATTTATGGATACAAAAATAAGTAGCAAAGTTCAAAATATTACATTCATTCAAGATAATCAGACAATATCGATCGCACCATAGATAAGAGAATACGTCACTAAGATAACCTTACAGACATACAAGGTCAAGAAAGAATAAGTAAAAAAAAAACAATAGCTTGAATAGCCCAACTAAGAATTAAATAAAACTGGACTAAGGGCGATTTAATCGGTTTTTTAATTACATCACTAATAAATAAGTTCCTTATTTTTCTGCGACAGGTCACATTAGGTTACTGTTTTTTTTAGTAATCATTCATCATCATCATCAGCTCACTATACGTCCCCACTGAGGGGCTCGGAGCCTACCCTAAGTTAAGGTGATTAGGCCATAGTTAACCACGCTGGCCAAGTGCGAGTTGGTTGACTTCAAACATATATTTTTTTAGTAATAACTATTATCCTGTATTTATTTATTTTTTAGTAATTATTATTAAGGTACTAATTTATTTAAAGTTAATTAACAACTATAAATAATAACATTGCATCCTTACGTAATCCAAGGTCATGATCGTAATCAATTTAAATAAAAAATCTTACTAATATTTTAAATGCGAATGTTTTAATGGATGTTTGTTTGAAGGTATCTCAGGAACGGTTTAACGGATCTCACTGAAATTTGGCATAGATATAAAACATAGTCTAGAACAACATATAGATTTTTACTAACTTTTTTAATTTCGCGCGGACTGAGTCGCGAATGACAGCTAGTCTACCTATAAAATTAATGCAAATGATGTAATGAATTGTTTGAACAATGTAACAAAATTAATTTCTTATTGTAACATGTTCTTTTTATATCATAATCTTTGATATAATTATAGAGACCTAGAACAACGAGATACCAAAGAGATTGTGTAACATGCTTGTTCTACAATAAACAATAATCTTTTTAACCGATTTCAAAACGAAAGAGGTTTTAATTTGTTTTTTTAAGCACCGGACTTTTGTTTTAAAACTGGCCATTGGTAAATTTTACTGTAAAACTGCACGGATAATTTACTCCAAATCTTGTATCTTAAATTAAACGTAAACGACGCAACACCTCGTTCGGTGCAGATTTTATAAATATTTCCTTTACAGTAAACACTGACCTACAATCGGTCATTACCGTCACGAGATTTTTTATCAAAATCACGCACTCACCATGCGTCTGGCGCTAGTGTCGTCAGACTTAATTACACATTTTACATTCAAATATGATTCTAATATAAAATAAATGAGTTACCATATGCCACTATTCCAAACTGTAATTTATCTCTGTTATAAACATGCAGACCGGAAAATCTGCATCTTATCTGTCATCATCATCAGCTCGTACGTCCCCACTGAGGGGCCTACCTATCTTTTCCTTCACCGTAAGAACGTCGGATAAATATACATATGTAAATGCAAATAAATTGGTAGATGGCAGGATTCAAACCCAAGACCTACAGATTATAAGTCACATGCTTAACCCTTAAGCCATCGACCCACTCTAAAATTTCGCATTTTTAAAATTAGTAAGATAGTCATTTTAAGGAAATTTAACATTGAACAAGAAATATTTTATCGTCTTTGTTCCAGTTTTTTTGCATAAAAGCAAGTCAAGCAATATTTATGGAGTTACAAAATACGTTTATGTACTTTTTTATCATTGCGTAATTCCTTTATCAGACGTCGGTGCAATGCACCGAACGATGCGTCATGCCTCTTCAATGGATAATAAACTTTAGTACTAAGTGATATGGTACAAATTAGATTGAATTTAACTTACTTTGTTTATGATTACTAATTGATTTTGCTGTTTTCGTTGAGTCTTAATATAATTTAGTAAAAATCGTGAATATTTCATGATATTTGTACTTTCCGTTTAGAGCTATAAAAACACGAGAAGCCATTTCTTTTTCTTAATTCAATAAACAAATATTTTTTCTTTAATCAAATTTGACAGCTGATGTAATGTATTTGAGGTTATAACATAACGTGACTTGTTTATGGTATTAATTTTAGGTTATAGGTCGCGGAAGAAACGGCCATACTTCCTTTTCTCTGTTATTGTAAATAATGTCTAACCTAAACTAACAAACATTGACATACGTCATTTGCATGTTTCCCTCCATATTAGCAAAATATTTATGTAATCTCGCGCCCCCAACGATAGTTTTATCTAATCGAATTATTTGCTGTTACTTCTAACTAAAACAAGCTAAAAAATGAGATTGCATTTATATGTTTTAAATGTTACATACAAACTCACATAAAACAAGCTTACGCGCGAAAAACACTACTGTCTCTCGTTTTGTTTTTGCTGTTGATTCGACAAAGGAGACTGTCAGTTGAACTGCGAATTTAAATAAAAGCAGTAAATAAAAGAAATTATGATTTCTAATATTCCATTTTGTTTTCTGTTACATCCAGAGCCTGAAAATAAAGCTACTAAGAGGATTTTACGTAACCACCATTTTGCAGATTTTTGGTACATACAGGGTGTTTAAAATAAAAAACGAGATAACAGTAACTTGAATAATATTTTATTATGTACTACACGAGTTATGAGGAATGTTCTTATGTACATAGCTTTGCATTCAATAAACTCCAATATAATCAATTTCATTGAACATTTAATATACAGGCTTTCGAAACGCTAATATCTATTTTATCATTTTTAAATATTCATAAACGCAACTCAATAATACTGTATAAATATAAATATGTTGCAATTATATAAACCTGTAGTCAAAAGCCTAAGCACTATTCCACGGAAATATTTTATATATTTTTTTTTTACTAAAATGGCAACATTAAAATGTCATCGACAACCTGCATCGAAAATACACAAAAACAAATTAAAAACTTTAATTAAAAGGAGGCTAAAAATATTGTCGATCAAAAAAAATTCTGTACATAGAAAAAATATATAGGAAAAAAAATATTGATTTAATGTTTTGATTTTGTTTACATGACGCCGGTGTTGCTAGAATTAGAACTACGACTGGGAATAAAATAAATTGTACAATGTAACAGTGCGACTGTAGGTCAGCGCGGCCTCCCGTACACAACTGATAACATTACCTGCAAACAAACAAAATTATAAACATGTCAAATTTATTCATAATTACTTTGACGCTTTTCTGTATAGTACCTGGATGACCGAGCTTTCCTCGGTATATTTTTTTAAAATTGTGTTTTTTTGGAAATTATATTTAAGTACGAATTACTAATAAAATTATGAAATATGAATAATATTTTTCGATCTTACCGATAGAAAAAGTTAAGTTTATGTTTAAGTTGATTATCGATAAAACACGAATAAAATGACATTTTCTAAAAATGATTCCTAGCTAGATCGATTTATCGCCCCCGAAACCCCCTATATACTAAATTTTATGAAAATCGTTGGAGCCGATTCTGAGATTCCAATTATATATATATATATATACAAGAATTGCTCGTTTAAAGATATAAGATAAGATTTATGTGACAAATAAGTTACTTTTTAGACGTAACAATTAGGAATACCGTCAATAACTATGTAATAAGGGATACAAGTTACAATGTACATAATATACCTATATATAAATAGCGAGGTGCGGCGCAGCACGAGCAGTTAGACGGCCTTCTCTATCATGTCGATGTTGATCTTGTAGAACACGTACGGGAAGTATTCAGACTGACCGAAGCCCAGGCCGGCTATCTCCACGTTCTGAAACATACAAAATATACAAATTGGTTGTACGAACGAGTGTAGGTACAAATAACTCAAACTACAAACTACTGAAAGTGTGTACAATCCACTGAAAGTGTGTACAAATAAGTGAATGTGTGAACAAACGAGAAGTTAAAGTGTGTAAAAATGAGTGAATGTGTGTAAATCTAGTCAATGTGTGTAAAATTCAGTGAAAGTGTGTACTAATCAGTGACTGCGTGTAAAACCGAGTGAATGTGGGTAAAATCCAGTGATAGTGTGTAAAATCGACTGAAAGTGTGTACAATCTAGTGTAGTGTGTAAGAATGTGTGTGCAGTGACCTCCGAGGCCTGTGCGTGTCCCTGCTGCGCGGAGTGGTCGAGGTGTGCGTACAGCTGCTGCAGCACGTCGCGCAGCTTCTTCATGCTCTTGCGCGCCGGCACCACCACCGCCGCTTGGAAGTTTACAGGCAGACCGTATCTGTACAACAATCATTACAGTGAGGGTTTTCGTGTTTTTTTATATCATAAATTGGTAAACAAGCAAGTAGATCTAATCCGCCTAAATAGCGAAACGCCCGCTGCTCAAATATATTAGCTATTGTAGATGCATTGCCTGCCTTTAATCGACGGAGGAGAGGACGCACAAAAAGAGAATGTTTCCCTTTTCTATGTCCTCTCCTCAGTCGAATCCTCTTACCCTTACCAGCTTTTCCTTATAAGAAAAGGGTGGGAAGGGAAAGAACACTAAAAAGAGGCCTCCATGCAGTTAAGACCTCATATTTGTCTCACCTCAGTACGGACTCAACGAAGACGCGTAGAGCCTTAACATGTATCCAGGCGCAGAAGCACTCGGAGAAGTTCACCTTCAGCCATCTCACTAGCGGACCCTACAGACAAAAACATTTTTATTATATCGTTACAATGAACTACAGGATGTTCAAAGATTATTAACAAATTATTTCACACTAATTGAGAAGTACATTTGACGGAGGAGGGGACGCGTAGAAGGAGAAATATTTTTTCTATGCGTTTCTCCGTCATTTAACGTGAACGGTTGCTTCGCCATTTTGGCGAATGTTTTCCTGTTTGTATGAAAAATGTATGAAAATACTAACGAACTGCTTCTTCTTGTCAGTGACGAGTTTAGTGATCTCGTTCTTGCCGGCGGCGAGGTCTGCCTCGTTGTAGGAGAACTCGCGCACCACGAACTTGCGCTCGCGCGCGTGCAGCTTGAACTCCTCCACCACCTGTACATGTAAATATTATTTTATCTTACTAATATTATAAATACGAATGTATAGATGGATGGATATTTGAAGGTAACTCCAAAACAGCTGCATGGATTTCTATGAAATTATAGAATATAGAACATAGTCTGGAAAAACACATAGGTTACTTATTAAATTTTTAATAATGGATGGATGATTAATACATAACTTCAGATGAATACGAACACAGTTTTGTGTTAAGTAAAAAATACTTGGGTAACATATTTAAAGCCGATCTTCGCGTATTATAAAGTTAACTAAAACTTAACCTACACTTTAAATAATCTTATAATTTTACAAGTTTCAATTTTCTAAGTTTAAAAATGCATAAAACAAAAAAAAAGATATATTAAAAATATAAATCAGCGCCATCTAGATTATAAAATATACCTTCTTGAAGAGAGTGACGGTGAACAAGCCGTAGTCGTTGTCCTGGTGAATGAGCTGAGTGGAGCGCGGCACTATCATGTTCGTTATCTTCTCGTAGTTTGCATTCCAGTCGTTGAACAACGACCTATATTATACAACATATTATAAACAGTAGTAGTTCATCATCATCATCATCAGCTCACTATACGTCCCCACTGAGGGGCTCGGAGCCTACCCTAAGTTAAGGGTGATTAGGCCATAGTCAACCATGCTGGCCAAGTGCGGGTTGGTTGACTTCATACATATCTTTGAATTTCCTGTCAGATATGTGCAGCATCACGATGTTTTCGCTAGTTTGCCACCTTATAATATAAAAATCAGACTACCCCTTATTAATCATCTGTAACTAGCCACAGTTTAATACAATGATTTATGTATCACCCTGTAGTGTGACCTACTTGGGCACGATGACGAGGAGCGTGGTGAGGTACTCGCTGTCCAGGATGAAATGCTCCTTCTTCACCAGGTCCGCCAGGTTGCGGGTCAGCAGGCTGCCACTGTAATACAAATACATGGATGGATGGATGGATATTTGTTAAAACGGCTGCATGAATCTCTATGAAATTTTGCAAATATGTAGAACATAGAATATCGTTTGTTTGTAATTTTTAATTACGAAAAAAAAAATGTAAATATCTCGAGTTAATAAAAGCTATATACATACGTCTGTTTCTTCTCTAAATTCTGCAGATTGCCTTTAAGCGCGTTGTAGGCGGAGGATTTCACCTTCAAGTCCGCGTCGATCTGACCCACCTGAAGACACGCATTTTATCTTACTAATATTATAAATGCGAATGTTTAGTTGAATGGATATTTGTTTGAAGGTATCTCCAGAAAGGCTCAACGGATCTTGATGAAATTTGGCATATATGCAGAAGGAAGTGAGGAAGAACTCATAGGCTACTAATTATGGTTCCTATTATATCCGCGCGAACGTAGTCGCCGGTGATAGCTAGTCAATTTAAAAATATTTTACAGAAAACTGTAGCCAATAATAATTCTAATCTTATATCCATACCCGTGGGATTCTGACATCCAAATCTTTTAAAAAAACATAGAAAACAATATGTTTAAAACGGGGATTTAGGTCTCAGAAAGCCACTTTTTATTATCTCTGTTTAATCAAAGATAATGAAAGGGATGATGATATATTTTACAGAGATATTGGTCTCAGAAACTAATGGACGATCACTAAACTAATAGCTAATTTGGCGCCAAATATTTGACAAATCATTGGCGCCAAATCATCTGTCAACATAATCTTCGGTCTTACTAATATTATAAATGCGAATGTTTAGATGGACGTTAGTTTGAAAATATCTCCAGAACTGATGAACGAATCTCGCTGAAATTTGGCATACATATATAACATAATCTGGAAGAACACATAGACTACTAATTAAGTTTTTTTCGGCACGGATGCGGGCGATAGCTAGCTAGCTAGTAGATTGTAAAGCACATACCTGTTTGCTGATAATATCGGCGATGTTGCGCAGACTCTGCTTGATAGGATACTTGGCCATGTCCCATTGGAAGCGGGTCAGGTACGTCGGTAGATCGCCTGGAATAATACATACACAATAAAACATCTGTACATTTTTACACTTTTGATATAACTTCCAATTTATTCAGAGTCTAGGAAATCTTATTTTTTTTTTAAATGTTATTAGAATTAGTTTTTTTTTATACGATTTCCTAAACTCTAGTGAATATAATACAACTATAATATGTACCATAGACAAATCGATTGTTTTTTTTTATGATACGACCACCAAGACATCATATCGATATTTTCACAAAGACAAATGAATTGTTTTTAATATTAATCAAATTTTACTCAAATTTAAATATAAAAAAAAATAGAATTGTCTATGAAACATACACAACATACAAAATCTCACAACATAAACAACAAAAATAAAAATTAGTAATCCATACATCAAATTGTAAAAAAAACAAAAGACTTAAACCAATGTTGTGGGATATATTAATTTAAATAATATTAGTATTAAAAAAAACAATATTTTCTTATTGCTGTAAGTGCTGAAACAAAAATAAAACCAATAAAAAAATAAAAAAAAAGCAAACAAAAAGTATTTAATGGTAAATAAAACATATATATTCTACACAGGAAGCATGCATAAACATCAAAAGAATCATTACACAGTGTAACAAACATTCAATGCATCTGTTAAAATCTTGTACATAAATATGACGAGATGATTTAAATTTATTTTATCAGTCAAGAAAAAAAAAATCGACACGATGTCAAAAAAAAATCGTGAAAAAATCAAGACCGAAAATTCTTAGGCGACCGGGTCGGGCCTTAGTAACATTTTTTCGAAAAGACGAAAAAAAAATACGTTTTGTCATTGTTTAACAAATAACTGTTATAATAAGGTTGTAGGTGTAAATTTAGAAAAAAAAATTGCTACAATTTTTTTTCATTCGGTGTTTTTTTTTTGTATTTTGTATAAATGAAATGCTCCGCTATAAGACGACACAAAATGACAACCTGACACATATAAAATTAAAGCAAATAACATCTTCCGCAAAACCAATTAAGAAAAATAAAAAAAAATCTTTAGCCAAAGCTATCAATATTGTTATTCTACGATTAGCTTTCAGGCGCATTTCTCACTCCCTTAATCACCTTTCAACCTGAGGAAACTTTCTAGCCGTTGATACCCATTAGCTATAAAAAAAACGAAAATAAAAATAAAATCATCTTCCTAAAAAAAATATAAAAAAAATCACTTTACATACGTCAGATTTTAACAGATGTGTATTTTAAAACATGCGTTACAAACATGCAAACAGGCATAATAATAAACAAGATTTTTTACTCTCTATCTTCAATGCAAGCCAAAAATACAGATTGCTTTTGTTGAATATATA